ACCTCCTTACTGTCCACTGACCTCCTCATTTATCCTTGATCAACATCTGCCTTTTCAACTGTTGATTCATCCTTACCCTCAGAATTTTTTCCAACAATTTCCCCACCACTTTTGTCAGACTAACCAGTCTGTAATTATCTGACCTAGCCTTTTTAAACAAAGAAACCACATTAGCTCTCCTCCAATCAACTGAAACTCACCTGTGGCCAGTATAGGTCTGCCAGGGCCCCAGCAATCTCTTCATTTGCCTAGGATAAATCTCATCAATCCCTAGAGATTTATGAACCTTCATGCCTGCTAAAGCATCTAACACTTCCACCTTATTGATCTTAACATGCTCAGGAACCTTATCATCCTAACTGAAATCTCTAGCTGCAGTGTTTTACTTTTTGTGAATACATGTGAGAAATATCCTTTCAAGATCTCACCCATGTCCTCTGGCTCAATGCAGATTGCCCCTTTGACCTCTAAAAGGGCCCACTATTTCCCTGATAATCCTCTTAATATACTTATAAAATGCCTTGAGGTTTTCCTTAATCCTATCTGTCAAAGATATTTCATGGTTCATCTTTGCCCTCCTGACTTCTTTCTAAGCACCCCCTCTAGACTCTATCTCCTTCTGAAGGGCCTGCCCTGTTTTTAATACTCTGAACCTAGCATATGCTTTCTTCTTTTTCTTTATCAAACTCTCTACCTCTTGACATCTAGAGTTCCCTGTACTTGCTGTCCTTGCCCCTCACTCTTACAGTGTCCCTGAACTCACAATACTCCTTTTAAAAGACTCCTACTTTCCCAACACAGACTTACCTGCAAGTTGCTGCTCCCACTCTAAGTTTACTAGGTCCTGTCTAATGATATTGAAATTGTCTTTCTCCCAATTTTGACACTTCTGCACTATCATTATCCCTTTCCATAATGACTTTAAAACCTACAGAGTTATGATGACAATCTCCAAAATGTTCACCTATTGACATTTCAACCACTTGACTGACTTCATTTCTTGTATAGCAGATGTTTCATTACCATGCTGAAGCTTCATCGGAGGCTGCACTGAGGATGTTATCCAGCATGGTAATGTAACGTCTGCGATACAAGAAACCAGCTTGGCGAACCAACCAACCTCAACACCCACAAGCCAAGCTACAAATCTACTCCAAAACCTTAGTGACTTCATTTCCTAGGATCAGCTCGAGCATTCCCCATCTGTAGTAGGACTATTTATGTACACAAAGTTCTCCTGGATGCACTTGAAAAATTCCATCCCATTTAATCCTTTCACACTAAGGTGATCCCAGTTAATTTTGCAAATCTAATAGCCATACTACTATAACCCTATTCCTCTCATACCGCTCTGAGATTTGCCTACGTATCTGCTTTTCTAACTCCCTTTAAATATTTGGAGGCTTGTCGTATAATCCCAGCAAAGTGATCGTTTTTTTTATTTTTAAGCTCTACCCAGATAGCCTCATGAAAAGCCTTCTAAGACATCCTCCCTCATTGCTGCAGTGATGGTCTCTTTTATCAATAATGCATTGCCCCCTACCTCTTTTGCATTTCCCCCACCTCCATCAGGCCTGAAACTTCTACATCCTTCAACATTGAGCCATCAGTTTTGCCCTTCATTCAACCATTTCTCAGTGATTGTAACAATATCATATTCCAATGTGTTGATCAACACTTTGAAGTTCATCTGCCTTACCAGTCACGTGACTTGAGAGCACAGCCTCAGAATGAAGGGACGATCCTTTAGAATTGAGATGAGGAAGGATTTCTTCAGCTGGAGGATGGTTAATCTGTGAAACTCATTGCCGCAGGGAGCATATTGAGTGTATTTAAGACAGAGATGAAGGGCGTAAACCTGAAACGTTGACTTTCCTGCTCCTCTGATGCTGACTGACCTGCTGCATTCCTCCAGCTCCACAATGTTTGACTCTGACTCCAGCATCTGCAGTTCATGCAGTTTCAAAAGATGCAGGCTATTTCAGGCGGTGCTAGCCTCCAGCCTTGCACAAACTTGGAGCAATTGGGAATGCTTCATGCTGATTGGCTGGACACTACTGTCACTAAAATTAGCTGGTAGTACACAGTTTTCATGCTTCATGCATTATAACTAGAGAAACAGGTTAATTGTGCACTATAAACCCTGCTCCCGTTTTTAGATCTATTGTTCTCGCGGCTCTCTTTGCTGATAGCACGGACCCCACATACGTGAGTTTCCATAGTCCATCCCAGTGTCTAATAAGACTTCTAATGACTTGTCAAACTGGTAATCCCACTCAGACCGTGCAAGTATCTGGTGTGAGAAATGGGACTTGAGCTTATTATGACGGAACAAAGTGAGAATTAGTCCATAGCTGGGAATGTACAATGTGTACCAATTACAAGATGCACTGCAAAAATTCACCAAGGCTCTCTGGACAGCACCTTCCAAATCTGTAAATGAGATCTCTGTTTTTTCCTACGTATGCACTGACACCCACTCTGCACTGGTTGGTGTCATACATGGCACATAGGAAGATGGTTATGTTGTTGGAGGTCAGTCATCTGTATTTTTTATTCCTCTATTCATTTGTGGGATATGGGCATCGCTGGCTGGTCAGCATTTCTTGCCCATTCCTAGTTGCCCTTGAGAAGGTGGTGGTGAGCTGCCTTCTTGAACCGCTGCAGTCCATGTGCTATGGGTTGACCCACAATGCTATTAGGGAGGGAATTCCAGGACTTTGACCCAGCAACAGTGAAGGAACAGTGATATATTTCCAAGTGAGGATGGTGACTGGCTTGCAGGGGAACTTGGAGGTGGTGGCGTTCCCATGTGTTTGATGCCCTTGTCCTTCTCGATAGAAATGGTTGTGGGTTTGGAAATTGATGTCTGAGGGTCTTTGGATTTCTGCAATGCATTTTTGTAGATAATACACACTGCTGCTACTGAGCTTTGATGGTGGAGGGAGTGGATGGTTGTGGATGTAGTGCCAGTCAAGCGGGCTGCTTTGTCCTTGATGGTGTCAAGCTTCTTGAGTATTATTGGGGCTGCAGTTATCCAGGCAAGTAGGGACTATTCCATCACACTCCTGACTTGTGCCTTGTAGATGATGGACAGGCTTTGAAGAGTCAGGAGGTGAGTTACTTGCCGCAGTATTCCTAGCTTCCGACCTGCTCTTGTAGCCACTGTGTTTATGTGGTGAGTCCAGTGAGTTTCTGGTCAATGATAACACCCAGGATATTGACAGTGGGGGATTTAGTGATGGTAACACCATTGAATGTCAAGGGGCGGTGGTTAGATTGTCTCTTATTGGTGATGGTCATAGCCTGGCATTTGTGTGGCACGAATGTCACTTGCCACTTTTCAGCCCAAGCCTGGATATTGTTCAGATCTTATTGCATTTGATCATGGACTGCTTCAGTATCATCAGCGAACAACCCCACTTCTGACCTTATGATAGAGGGAAGGTTATTGATGAAACAGCTGAAGACGTTTGGGCCTAGGACACTACCCTGAAGAACTCCTGCAGAGATGTCCTGGAGCTGAGATGATTGACCTCCAACAACCACAACCATCTTCCTACGTGTCAGGTGTGACTCCAACCATCAGAGAGTTTGCCCCCTGATACCAGTTGATTCCAGTTTTGCTAGGGCTCCTTGATGTCACACTCGGTCGAATGCAGCCTTGATATCAAGGGCTGTCACTCTCACCACACCTCTGGACTTCAGCTCTTTTGTCCATGTTTGGACCAAGCCTGTAATGAGGTCTGGAGCAGAATGGCCCTGGTGGAACCCAAATTGGGCATCACTGAGCAGGTTATTTCTGAGCAAGTGCTGCTTGATAGCACTGTTGATGATACCTTCCATCACTTTACTGATAATTGAGAGTGGACTGATGGGGCAGTAATTGGCAGCGTTGGATTTGTCCTGCTCTTTCCTGGGCAATTTTCCACATTGTCGGGTAGATGCCAGTGTTGTAACTGTACTGGAACAGCTTGGCTCAGCTCCAGGACATCCCTGCAGGAGTTTGTCAGGGTAGTGCCCTAAGCCCAACCATCTTCAGCTGCTTCATCAATAACCTTCCCTCCATCAAAGATGTTTGCTGATGATTATACAATGTTCAGCAACATTTGTGAGTACTGAAGCAGTCGATGTTCAAATGCCACAAGATTTGGATGATATCCAGGGTTGGGCTAATGAGTCGCAAGTAACACTAATGCCACACAAGTGGTAGGCAATGACCATTTCCAATAAGAGACAATCTAATCAGAGCTCCTTGACATTCCATGGTGTTACTGTCACTGAATCTCCTGTTATCAACACCTTAAGGGTTACCATTGACCAGAAAATCAACTGGACTTGCCGTATAAACACAGTGGCTATGAGTGCAGGTCAGAGGCTAGGAATACTGCAATGAGTAACTCACCTCCTGACTTCTCAAAACCTGTTCACTGTCGACAAGGCACAAGTCAGGAGTGTAATAGAATACTCCAAATATGCATTGATGGGTACAGTCCAACAACACTTAAGATGCTTAACACCATTGGGTCAAAGCAGCTCACTTGATTGGTACCATATCCACAAATTTCCACTACCTCTGCCACTGATGCTTAGTAGCACCAGTGTGTATTATCTGCACAATTCACTGCAGAAATTCATCAAAGATGCATAGTCAGCAACCTTCCAAACGCACAATCACTTCCATCTACAAGAACAAGGGCAGCAGATACATAGGAATACCACCACTTGCAAGTTCCCCTCCAAACCGCTCACCATCCCAACTTGGAAATATATTGCCATTCCTTCACGGTTGGTTGGTCAATATCTTGGAAATCCCTACCCTGGAACAGCATTGTGGACTTCAAAGGTTCAAGAAGACAGCTCGCTAACTCAAGGGCAACTAGGGGTGGGCAATAAATGCTAGCCAGCCAGCAACACCCACGTCCCACAAATAAGTAAAAAATACATATACATGCTATACAAGTCTTGTTTCACCAATTTATCTCACTTTCTACTCCTAGATTCCTTTGACCTGAAACACATGAAGGATTTGCACATCAACTACGTTCAGTCTCATCATCAGCGTATTGAACCAACAGCAGATCAGTTTATGTTGTATGTTACTGACAGACAGCATCGCTCTATGGCAGTGCCATTTTATATTATAATCCAACTGACAAATGACGAGGCTCCAAGTTTCCTTGCCAGAAATATCACGGTAAGTGATGGATGCAATATCTAGCTTCCAATTAAGACAACTGATGGCACAGCTCCAGGGGAGAATGTGAGAAGGGATACACTCAGTTTTTCAGCTGATAGACTTGTGAGTTCACAAGTGATGACAATGAACCACAAGCTTCTACACCCATAGCCTCTTCTCCTGAAGGATGTGCTCATGGCAATAACTGGAACTCTCTAATACTTGACCCAAGTGACCACCTCTTGGAGATAAGCCTGAACAATGAGTTTTGACTCCTATTTTCAAAGACTGATGGGTAAAAAGGCAAAAAGCAAAAGAAAATCTGAAACAAGAATCTGCCGACGTGCAGTAGGTTGCTTTGCCATATGACTATGTAGGTCAGGAGGAGGAAGAATGCATTTTCTTAACATGAGGTACCTAGTAAACACTTATCCAGTAAACGACTCTCAGTAATAGTTAGATTACTCATCATCCTATAATCCCATAAATCAATCTGTGTTCTCAGGCCATTTACATTATTTCATTGACTTCTAGCATTGAAGTATATCCTAATTAGCACAGGAAAACTTTCTACTGAAAACCTGGACATTGTGGAAAGTAATTGTTCTGTAGAGAGATGCTGGATTCGGCTTCACCTGATGTGAAAATTTAAGTTTGCAGAAGCACTGCTTGTTCAATCAGTCAAGGAAAATGAGTCTTGGCCTGCACATCCTGATATGTGGATAGAGCTGTCTGTGACCTTGGCCCTTCTCTTTCTTGCTTATGTGCTAACCTCCTTCAGCTCCCTCCACAGTACACCCTTGTGGCTGTTGATCCTTAATCTCATTATCTTCTTGAGTCCAAATCCTGTGCAGCTATGGCATCATTTACTGTGACCAATCAACTTGCAACTCTCCCAGGAATATTCACAACAAAGATTATCACTGAACACTGTCACGCAGAAAGAAATGAGAAAGACCATTTGCTGTTACCATCTTTATTAGTCTCCCATGTGGAGTCTGCTCAAAGGCTTTGCTGAAATTCATTTAAACTACAACAACATCCTGACCCACATTTACACACCTGGTCATGTCCTCAACTTCTGTCACTTCTGAATCGAATTCCAGGCTCTCCTCCCTCTTTCTTTGACAGAACAAGCTAACCAACTGTGAGCATATTAGCCTCAGCCCTGTTGAGGTACAACGCATCTGGCCCTCCCTCCTGCATCATCTCTCTAACCACATATTTCTCAACCTGGTCTTCCTTTTTCTGTATGTACTTATAAGCTCATGGCACTGGGAGTAATCCTAAGATTTAATTTCTACCTTTCCAACTCTGTCTGTGTGGGGCAGCACAGTGGCTCAGTGGTTAGTGAGGCACCAGGGAGCCTGGTTACGATTACAGCCTTCAGCGACTGTGTGGCGTTTGCACATTCTCCCTGTGCCTGCATAGGTTTCCTTCAAGTGCTCAGGTTTCCTCCCACAACCCAAAGATATGGAAGTTAGGTGGATTGGCCATGCTAAATTGCTCATAGCATCCAGGAATGTGCCGGCTATGTGGATTAGGCATGAGAAATGTAGGATTTCAGGGATAGGGTAGGGGCGTTGGTCTGGGTGGGAAGCTGTTTGGAGGGTTGGTGTGGACTCAATGGGCTGAATGGCCTGCTTCCACGCTGTAAGGATTCTATGATTCTAACTCCCTAAATTCTGTTAGCAGGGTCTCATCCCTGTTTATGTCTCTGCCCTCCATGCTGATATGGACCCCTACTTAAGACTATTGATTCTTTAGCCTCAGTGCCCTGACTACTCAATGATGTCCTTGGCCCAGGCACTAGCATGGCAATGCATCATCCTAAGTTCAAATCTTTGGCCAAATAAATGCCTGTCTGTCACCGTCACTATCATTTACCCTACTATTATTGATCTTGCCCTCCTCCTACCTTCCATTTAAATTTGAGCTATCCAAGGTACCATGGACTTCGCTGTAGCTGCAATCCTCAGAGGAGTTGAAGCAGGAAATTTTTTTGTAGAAGGAAATGCCCTGTGTCACAATCTGCCTGTTTTTGTTTGACTATTTAGGCATCACTCATTCCTCTTTCTGGACCCCGTTCAGATGTGGGATGACCACATCCAGAAATATGTTATCTATGAAATTATTAATTTGTGGATGGTCCTGTGTTGATTTCTGCAACCCAAAACATAGATCTCGAGTTGCTGGAGTTGAAGATACTTCCTAAACAATACAGTGCACTATTGTCTGTGCCATCAATGTGCCTTCAAAATGTTTTTCTTTCTATCCCTCCCACTATTTCTGAGTGTTGTCCCAGGTTTTGCAACTGGGATGGAAGAAGCTGCTTGATAATGGAGCCAGTTGACTTGGAGGTTTGTTTGGGTGACCGGGGGGATGTTTGTGTCTGGGAAGCCCTGATATGCTGAAAACAAGTGAACCCTCCTTCGCTTGAACTTTGTGTAGTAAGAGGGGGCAGAGAGGGTGCAGGTGGATGTGGTGGCCTGATGACATTTGGAATGCCCTGAGATTGTTTTGCCTCCTTGTGCAGTGTGTGCCAGGTTCACTTGCCCCAGTTGCCATGCCTTCGGTCAAGAGGACCAAAGACTGGAGAGATGTACTGCAGGTCTATGCTGTATCCAGTATCCCCTGGGATGCTGGACCTGACTTTCCCTGGCAGCCACCAACCTTTCCACAGAGGCAGAGAGATGCTGTCAGGCTTGAGGCAACTGGGTCCCCAAAATATAGCTACTCTGCTGCAGCCTCTGGGCAGTTTGAGCTATTATGTCCCACATATTGTCTGCTGCTTTTGTTCCTCCCTGTACTTGTGGACAAAATCACTCATTACCAGCATCACAAGGTCTTTTCCCGCCTTGGATGAGCAAGTGCCTGGCCTCCAACAGTCTGCCAAGTGCTAACAGCCTGGGTATTTTTCTTTCTTTACCAGCTGTGTTGCAGTGAGGTGCTCACCAAACATTCTAAGCCTGGCTTTCCCATTGAGGTGTCAGTACCTGGCTTGGTGAGACTGCAAAAGACAGCCTTGCTGATGCTTCTCCTGAGGCGTCTGTATTGTCCCCAGAGGATGAGAAGTTGCCTTCTGGTTGAGCAGCTCTCTTGCATCTTGGAAGTAACAATGTGATGCCTGTGGCCCTGTAGAAAAATGGGTTGCTCAACCAGAAGACGCCTCCTCAAGGGAGAGAAGGCATCATGGCCAGTGGTTAAAAGTTGTGAGAAAGAATGATAATGACACCGGGGTTCCTGTGAGATTTGCATTAGAATGAAGACTGAAACTTACTCAATTGGTGGGGCATGGATGTCTCAACATTGCAGCAGGATCAGTCTTGGTCTTGTCCCGTGAGGGACTGGATTCTCTTTTCAAATGGGGTGAATGGCTTACTGTCAGGCGTCTCTACCTGTCGTGGTTCTTTCTGCCCTATTGTAGGCTCTCTTCTCATGGAATGTGGTAAGATAGGATTGAGTGAGTTGAAAGCACAGCTTTTAGTAATGCTGCAGGTGGTCAAATCAGTGTACTGGGTGAGTGAGTCGGTAGTGCAGAGGCCAGGCGGGATTAGTAGTGTGGGAGGTTGGGGAATGTGAGCAAGTGAAGGAAGATGTTGCATGCAACATTGAAAATGGCCGAACACGAACCTTAGTGATAGGTAGTTGCAGTAAAAGAGATAGAATGTAAAATGGCAGAGAGAAGAGTGTGGCACTTAGTCTGACAAAGCACTGAGAGTCATTGACCATCTTCCTGCACTGCTCACCATTCCTCTGTTACATGGAGATGGCACTGACCCAGGTGATGACCTTGATCCAGACTGCCAAGGTCTGGAAATATGTGTTCCCTTGCCAGTCCTTTGAGGATGTCCCTGCTCCAGTCCATCAGGACCTCTGGGTCCCTGTTGATGGCATTCTCTCTTTCTCTGGTTTGTTCAGACTGACTGGCGTTCAATGAGTGGGGCAACTTTGGAATACAAGTGCTTGTCAGGGTATGTGGTGGCCTTTAAAACATGGCATGACCAGCAGGGAAGCTTGTCTTTCACGGAATATCCAGTAAGTGATGAGTTGTTCCGTGACCAGCATGTGGTAGGATGGAGCGAGAATCACACGAGCAGCCCTGTGGAAGTGGAGTTGGTAATTAATGAGGTAGATTTGGGTAAGATACAGTGCGAAAACTCATCAGACCTCATGGCAAGAACCCCCTCCTTCCCCACCCCAAGCCCCAATGAAATTCAACTGAATTCACACTTTTAAAATGAAAGTAATCATTGTGTTTTATCCAGGTTTCTGAAGGCCAAGTATGTGAATTGGATCCATTATTAACCAATGTGGCAGATCTAGATGTACCCCCAGACAGCTTGATATTCATGATAAAACAGCAGCCCAACCATGGAAAGATCGTGAATGGAATATATGGCAACAATGTCATCCGCTACAAACATCAAATCCACAGTCATGAAGACCGTCTTGTGCATGACTTCACGATGGATCAGTTGAAGCAAGGTATTTGGAGCTGCAGTGCAACATAATGAAAGGGAATGATATGTTAAAATAAAAACCCAGAGATCATAGATCCCCATAATAATCTGGAGGCTGGAGATGCAATGGCTTTAGAAGAGCCTTTCAGCATGTGTTGGGGATGAGAAGCTAAAGTGGGTTGCAAAATTAGAACTGTTCACGTTGGAACAGAAAAGATTAAGAGATGACTTTGTAGAGGTTTTCAAGATGGTGAGCAGTTTTAATCAAGCAACCAGGTAAATGGCAGTCCCTCTGGCAAGTTAGTCAATAACTAATTATCACCTCCACAAACAGAGAATGCTGGAGAAACTCAGTAGGTCTAGCAGTATCTGTGGTGAAAGAAATGGCGTTAACATTTTGAGTTGGTCCTGACTCTTCTTCAGACCAGTTCTGATCAGATTTCCAGCATCCATAGTATTTTGCTTTTATACCAGTGATCACAGATTCAGAATCTTTGCAAAAATTTCCAGATGGAGGGTTTATCATTCCACACAGAAATTAGCCAGATTGAGACCACTTCATCTGAAAAGACTAGGAGTTGGAAAGCTTCTTGAAGATGAGGAAATGAGGGTTTTGGAGAAAAGACACCGCTGCTCCTTCAAAGAGCCAGCAGAGACTCAACAGGGTGACACGGTGGCTCAGTGGTTAGCACTGCTGCCTCACAGCGCCAGGGACCTGGGTTTGATTCCACACTTGGGCAATTGTCTGTGTGGAGTTTGCACGTTCTCCCCTTCTCTGCATGGGTTTTCTCTGGGTGCTCTGGTTTCCTCCCACAGTCCAAAGATGTGCAGGCGAGGTGGATGGGCCATACTAAATTGCCCATAGTGTACATTAGGTAGGTTATGTGGAATGGGTCTGGGTGGGTTGCATTGAGGGTCGGTGTAGACCTGTCGGGCCAAAGGGCCTGCTTCCACACTGTAGGAATTCTATGAACAAGGCCAAATGCAGTATTGTTTTCTGATTTTATGGCCTGGTATGTTCAGCACCAGTTCACAGTTTGCAGGCAGCTTGAAACTTGGAAATGCAACAAATGATGAGCAGGCCATCTGAAGAAGTCTTCAGGAAGATGTTGAAAGAAAATTGAAAGAGATGAGGTATGTGAAATTCAATGCAGAATAGCGTGAAAGTTTTGGCAGGAAGAATGAGGAGGGGTGATATTAATTAAATGGTGAAATTTTAAGTAGTGCAGAAACAGACATTCAGAGTGCACCAACATTTAAAGATGGGATTAATTATAGGAATGTTAAAGAATATATAGAGGAACTTTGGATTCATAAATAAAGGTACAGGGTGTAAAAATAACAAAGTTATGCAACCCTTTTTCTAAGTCACCTGTTAGGCCTGAATGACAGTATTGTGGATAATTCAAGGCATCATGCTTTTGGTTGAATTTTTGAAATATGAGGAGTATATAAGGGGAGTGATTGTACCCATCAAACCAGAGCATTTCAGTGGAACTCTAATATGTTCAGAAATACTAAGGGCATTAATTGAGTAAATAGGGAGCTTCTGTTTTATTGGCAATGTGGAAGAAAACCAAAGAACACAAATTATGGTCAAATAACCAAAAGTGAGATGAGGAGGGTAGTTTGTTTTCACAGTAAGTTGTTATGATCTACAGTGTGCAGAATGGCAGAAACAGATTCAGTAATGACTTGCACAATGGAATTAGATGTAAACCTGCAATTAGGTATGAGCAGGGGACTGTGACTGATTGGGCAGCTCTATGAAAAAGTTGTAATGGACATATAGGGCTGGACATTCATGCAGCCTTGTTGAATCTGATTTTGGGACTATGTATTCTGATATTGCATTTGTCAGCAGCAAGACAGATCGATAATCTTGCTAGAGAATGAACCATCATCCATGAGTTAGTTTCCAATCCTGCAGACATAATCAGAGGCTCTGGAGCTTGGGTTGGGCACTGCCATATCATGTCATAGACCATAACGGTAATGACCAACACTGAAGGACTGCACGGAAAACTCAAGGAACTAGTAGAAATATCAAGATGGAGGAAAGGCCATGCCACACAATCAAATGTGGCCATGTTTAGTCTTCCGTTCACTTGACCACATTTGGGGAGCTGGGAACCTTGACTCTGATAACCCCAGCATCCCCTTGCCTGTATCTGAGAGGTTATTTCTATAATCATTTGACTGTCTCCACACACTGTAGGGCACTTTTCATTCAGTGGAAAATGTTCCAATCGGCATAATAAAATTACTTAACGAGTCCATAGGTACTCTAATTGACTTCCTACCTCTAAGATGTGGATAGCTGAGTTTGTTATAGACCAACCCTACAAAGATGCTTGACAGTAGGAATCTAGACTGACACAACTTCCCCCTATTTCCTGACCTCTGAAAGTAGGAGCAAGTGGAAAAGTCATAGCATTTACTACAATGGTAGGCTGGGAAAAGCCAATAATGCAACCTGTTTTTGATCTATTTGGAGAAATGTGATTATCAGCTTTCTCTCTGCTTCTCTTGCAGGGATGAAGTTAATGTATATGCATGATGACTCCGAAACTAGGATGGATAGTTTCACCATTCAGCTGTCAGATGGCAAGCATACAGTCCACAAAATCATTGAAGTCACAATTCTTCCAGTGAATGATGAAAAACCATTATTGAGCAGGTATGTTCCCTTCACAGATGCACTCACCACAATTTGGGCCCTAAGTTATTCTCCACAAAGTCGTTGGACAACATGATTCAATGAAATTAGAGGACAGAATTCAGAGTGTATTCTTTCTATTAAAGTTTTTTTTTATTTTTAGTTGTTCATCTCCTCCTGGAGAATAGACAATTCCTTGCTCCTTGCTCTTTGAGGATTAATCGGTTGCACTAGATGAACAAACTGATTTCAATAGTTACTGTTGTGGGTATTATGTGCTATGCTGTCTCAGTCTATTCAGCATGGGAACAGTACTGTGATAATGAATAGCAAGCTAATTGGTGTTGTTAGAGTCATAGAGATCTACAGCACAGAAAAAGCCCTTTTGGCTGATCGCATCCAACCCAGTCAAAAACAACCACCTAACTATTGTAATCCCATTTTCCAGTTCTTGGCCCATTGCCTTGTATGCCTTGGCATCACAAGTGCACATCTAAACACTTCTTAAACGTTACGAGGCTTTCTGCCTCTACCACCCCTACTACACCTTCTACATTCCCACTACCCCCTAGCTATAAAAGATTTTCCTCACATTTACTCTGAGCCTTCTGTCCCTTACCTGAAATCCATGTCCCCAGTCATTGATCCCTCCTTAAAGGGGAAAGGTTTCTTCCTGTCCACCCTATTTGTGGCCCTCATAATTTTATATATGTCAATTACAATTACTCAATCTCTTTCTAAAAGTTACTACTAAACTTTGCTTGAGCCCAATAACTATCATTGAGGCCTGAGAAATAAGTAAAATTGATAAAATAACTTTAATGTCAAAAAAATGGTTCTTGTTTTATTGCAAATCCTTTATGGTTATATTGCATATAAGACTGTCCTGGTACCATATACATCTTTGTAATGTCGCTGTGCCACTCTGAAATTCACTCTATTTCTTAAAGTGAATTCAACTCACCGTCCACTCACCCCAGTCCCCTGTCCCAACAGACATACCTCCTTTAGATCTCTTCTATTGCAGTGATCATATGAGAATTATTCAGCATGTAAGAACAGTAAGAAAGGAAAAGTAGAATACTTTTTGAAAGGCACAAAACTTTAATATTTTGATGTTCAGAGGAGGAAGGCAGAGAGTTAACATATGGTTACAACAAACAAGTACGAAGGCAAATAGCACATTGGCCTTTATTGCAAGGGAATTGGAGTACACAAACAAAGTCTTGATAAAGTTGTAGAGGGCTTTAATAACACCACATCTGGAGAACTGTGTGTAGTTTGATCTTTGTACTTAAAGAAGAATATACTTGATTGGAGGTGGGACATCAGAGATTCAGGAAGTTGGCCCCTAGGTTGGTTAGAATATTCTATGATGACAGGCTGAATAAATTTAATTTCTGTTCTTTGGATTTCAAATATTACAAGGTGATCTCATTGAGACATACAAAAGGTTTTTGACACATCCAACACTGAGAGACACTGTCATGATAAAGAGTTGGTCATTTGGGATTGAAATTAAAAGATACTTCTTCATGACAACTTGTTATTTATCATTCAGGAGATGTGGGCATCACTGGCTGGGCCACAGTTATTGGAACAAGGCAGTGGTGAAACACCTTCTTGAAAAGCTGCAGTTCTTGAAGTGTAGGAAAACCCATCAGGGATGGAGTTCTAGGATTTTGACCCAGCTGAAGGAACGGCGGTAATAAGGCAAGGGAGGAAATAGCAGGGACACTGGCAATAATTTTAAATTCCTCCTGGCCACAGGGGAGTTGCCAGAGGACTTGAGGTCAAGAAGACAGCATGGGATAACTAAGGAAACTACAGGCCAGTCAGTCTAATATCATTGGTGAGGAAACTATTGGAAGCAATTCTGAGAAACAGATTTATCTGCACTTGAAGTCGCAGGGATCAATCAGGGGTAGTCAGCATGGTTTGGTTAAGGGGAATTCATGTCTAACAAACTTGATTGAATTTTTCAAAGTGATAGCCATATGTGTTGATGAGGGCAATGCATTCGATGTAGTCTACATGGACTTCACAGCTTTTCACAAGGTCCTCATGAGAGACTGATGAGCCCATGGGTTCCAAAGAACTTTGGCAAATTGGATACAGGATTGGTTGAGTGGCAGATAGCAGAGGATGATATGGGTGTTTTTGTGACTTGAAGTCTGCATCCTTCAGGGATCAGTGTTGGAGCCCTTGCTGTTTGTAATATACATAAATAATTGAGACTTGAATGTAGGAGGGTTATCAATAAGTTGACAGATGAAACAAAAATAGGTGGGGTGGCAAATAATGAGGAGAATAGCCTTTGATTGCAGGATAATATAAAGGGTCTAGTCAGATGGGCTGATCAGTAGCAAATAAAATTCAGTCTGGATAAGTTTGAAATAACAAGGTGGAGAGCTGGATGAAC